CGTCTTGCCCAGGTAATGTCACCCAACTGCCACTCAAGCGTCACCCAACGTTCATCCGAGGGTTGCCCAAGGATGGCACAAGGAACACCCAAGGGACACCTGACCAGCCCACCCAAGACCCTCCCAACCTTCACCTGAGGAACACCCAGGGAACACCCAAGGAACACCCACAGAACACCTGAGGAACACCTGAGGTTCACCTGACCTTCACCAAGGAACACCCCAAGGAACACCCGACCTTCACCCAAACTTTACTCACAAAAAATTCCTCGACTTCACCTGAGGTTCACCAAGGAACACCCAAAACCCACCCAAGAAACACCCAAGGAACACCCAAAACCCACCCGAGGAACACCCAAGGAACACCCAAAACCACTCAAGGAACACCCAAAAACACCCAAGAAACACCCAAAATCCATCCAATGAACACCTGAGGTTCACTTGACTCTCACCAATGAACACCTGACCTTCACCCAAACTTTGCTCACAAAAAATTCCTCGAATTCACCTGAGGTTCACCAAGGAACACCCAAAACCCACCCAAGGAGCACCCAAGGAACACCTGAGGTTCACCTGACCTTCATCAAGGAACACCCGAACTTCACCCAAAGTTTGCTCACAAAAAATTCCTCACCTTCACCTGGGGTTCACCAAGGAACACCCAAAACCACTCAAGGAACACCTGAGGTTCACCTGACCTTCACCAAGGAACACCCGACCTTCACCCAGAATTTGTTCAAGAAAAATTCCTCAACTTCACCTGAGGTTCACCAAGGAACACCCAAAACCCACCCAAGAAACACCCAAGGAACACCTGAGGTTCACCTGACCTTCACCAAGGAACACCCGACCTTCACCCAAACTTTTCTCACAAAAAATTCCTTGAATTCACCTGAGGTTCACCAAGGAACACCCAAAACCACTCAAGGAACACCCAAAACCCACCCAAGGAACACCCAAAATCCACCCAAGAAACACCCAAAACCCACCAAGGAACACCCAAGGAACACTTGAGGTTCACCTGACCCTCATCAAGGAGCACCCGACCTTCACCCAAACTTTGCTCACGAAAAATTCCTCGAATTCACCTGGGGTTCACCAAGGAACACCCAAAACCCACCCAAGGAACACCCAAAACCCACCCAAGGAACACCCAAACCCACTCAAAGAACACTCAAAATCTACCCAAGAAACACCCAAAACCCACCAGGGAACACCCAAGGAACACCCAAAACCCACTCAAGAAACACCCAAGGAACACCCAAAACCTACTCAAGGAACACTCAAAATCTACCCAAGGAACACCCAAAACCACTCAAGGAACGCCCAAAAACACTCAAGAAACACCCCAAACCCACCCAACAAACACCCCAAACCCCACCCAAGACCATCCCACCCTTCCCCAAACCTCCACCCGACGTTCCCCCAACCTCCCACCCTCCCCTGTGAGCCAACACTTGCTTCTGGCCAGCCCGGTGCTGGGTGACACGTTCTGCTGGTCCCTCTTGGCCTTGATGTATCGGCAACAGTCGAGGAAGGCGCGGACGCAGGCGTCGCCCTCCTGGATGTACTCGGATCTCTTGTCGCAGCTGTGCCCCATGGGGTTGTCCCTCATGCCGTCCTCGCAGCATTTCCGCTCCAGCTTGTCCGAGTACTCGGCGGCTGGAGGGGAGAGGGATTGGG